ACACTGTATATATGTGTCAAAGGTACATAAGACTCACTTTGCCGGACTTACAAACAAGCTCGACTAAACAACAGTCTCCCAGAATGGAACTCATTTTTATGTCAGGGACTTACTGTATCTTTAGGATATATACAGTACTTTCCTTTGAGTTACATCTCCTACCCATTTTTCATTTTTATTTTGAGACAGTGTCTCACTAAACTGCCCAGGCTGGCCTCCAATTTGTAATCTTCCTGCTTCAGCCTCCTAAATAGCTGAGATTGCCAGGAGTGGTTGGTGATCCACACCTGGTAATCCCAACACACCAGCAGATGAGATAGAAGGATCAGTGCCCCAAGTTTGGGGGCAGTTTAGGCTACATATTGAGTTCAAGGTCAGCCTATATTACGAAGCAAAAAAAAAAGCCATGAAAGGGGAAAAAGTGAAAGAAAAACTTTATAACAGAATAAATGATAAATGTCAGGCATGGGAATGCAAGCCTGTAATCCCAGCACTTGGGAGGCGGAGGCTCGAGGACTGTGGCAAATTCCAGGCCAGCCTAGGTTACATAGCCAGACCATCTCAAAAAAAGAGTAAGTGCACATATAGAGTTATAAAAACACAAATGTAATATGTGAATTTTTGTTTTTTGTCTTTTTGAGACAGGGACTCGCTATGCAGCTCAGGCTGGCCTTGAGCTCACCCTAGTCTTGAACTGGCAACAATCCTCCTGCTTCAGCCTCCCAAGTGCTGGAATTACAGGCATATGCCACCACGCCCAGCACAGTATGTGAATATTGATTGGATCCTGGGTTTAAAAAAACCTGTAAGACTCAGGCATGGTGGTGCACACCTGTAATCCCAGCACTTGGGAGAATGAGGCAGTAGGCTGTATGTGAGGCCAGCCTCGACTACACAGTAAGTTCAAGGCCAGTTTGAACTACATGGCAAGACCCTGTCTCAAAAAGACAAAAAACAAAAGAAAACAAAAAGGAATAAGAGCCAGGCGTAGTGGCACATGCCTGCAATCCCAGCACTTGGGAAGCTGAGGCAGGAGGATCATTGTGAGTTCCAGACCACCCTGGGCTACAAAGTGATCTTAAGGCCAGCCTGAACTGCATAGGGAGACCCTGTCTCAAAAAGGCAAAAAAAAAAAAGAAGAAGAAATAAGGAAAAACAGAACAATAGGAGAATCTGGATATGGCCTAAATATTAGATATCATGGAATTATTGCTAATTACATTACCATAATGATATAAAGCAAACAGGGTAGACATTATGATATAGGTGGGACATCGAGTGTTCTCTCAACTTTACATTATATTTGAAATTTTCCAAAATAAAAAACTAGAGTCTGGGTATGGTGGTGCAGACCTGTAATCCCAGCACTCAGGAGGCAGAGACATAAGGATCACTATCAGTTCAAGGCCAGCCTGGGCTACTTAGTGAATTCAGGGCCAGCCTGAACTATCTCATTCATTCATTCATACATACATACATACGTACATAGAAATTATTCAAGATCCCAAAACCAAGGACAAATAATCCAAGGATTCAGAGGTGAACAGCCACAGGAAATAAGCCATGATGAGGTGGACCCTAGCCCCACACACAGCATTTCATCTCAATGAAATGAAAACACACCAAACACATGTACCATGGCTGCACCCTGCACAAGTACCACTTAGGACAATGTAAATGAATCACTTATCAGGGTAAAAACACAAACATTTTCACTCTAGAGATAGTAAAACAAATCCTCTACTATTTTTAGCAAAAAACATTCAAAGTCTAAGATGGGGGGGGTGCATGCCTGTAATCCCAGCATTCAAGATTACAGTGTTGGGAGGCACTGCAAATTCAAGACCAATCTAGGCTACAAAGTGAGCTCAAAGTCAGCCTAAACTGCATAGCGAGACCCTGTCTCAAACGGACAAAAAAAAAAAAACAAACCAAACCAAACAAGTAAATGTTCAATCCCCTAGGTTAGGAATTTGGGTAGACACTGTCAGAATGCATTTCTCCACGTTTTTTTAACATTTAGGAATCAAGAACATTAAGATGCTGTTAAAAGAGGCTATGAACTTAGCCTAACTGGGTTCAAACCCTAGTCCTACTACTACTGACCTTGCGCAAATGACTTCATCTCATGAATCTTTTACTTACTACTAAACTGAGACTTATAATAGTACCCCAATACTTCATGGAACTGCCAAGTGCAACATTAAGACAAACCAGGACATACATGATGACCAGCACTCAACAAATGTTAATTATTATTTTATTGGTCCAGTGATTTTCCTTTCAATATTAACTTAAAAATTTCCTTCTTAAAAATTCTTACAAATTGGCCATAATGTCTTCATTTCCACAGTAAATACGTAAGTAGGTGAGAAAAATTAATGGCTATGTTTTCTTAGTAATATGAAACACAAAATACAAAGTAATAAACAGGTGGGATGGTGTAAGTTTGTAACCCCAGCACTCAGGAGGCTGAAGCAGGAAGATCTACCATGAGCTTAAGGCCAGCCTGGGCTACATAGCGAGCTCCAGGTCAGCCTGAATTGCACAGTGAGACTCTGTCTCAGAAACAGCAACAAAAACAAAAAATACAGAGTCATGATTCCATCTAATCCAAGTATCAAATCAGCTGTCATTCATCATTCTGCCTACAAAAAAATTGAGGCTGAGCTGAGAGAGGTAATTTAACCAAAAAAACTCAGTTAGCAATGAGACCACTGAGACTCTAATTCAAAGCACCTCACCGAAAGGGATAAGCAGCTGTCACTACACCAAATAGGGCTTCAAATATATGCAGACAACAACAAACTAAAGCTAAGTTTCATAGGCTAACTTCACCTAAAGTTCACAGGCTAGGCTATTAATTTGCCACTTGCATTTAGCAGGGTAATCAAGGAAGTAAACTTTTGTGCATGATGCAAAGACCTTAAATTTTAGGTAGTCATGTACTCCCGAGAGACTCAACCAGGCAAGCCTTACTACTGATATATGGCACAGTACCCCTTCCTCTGACTCTGCCTGTGCCCAAATGTTCTCTGCAGTGCCAGCCTTTCCTTCAAGCACAGTGGGAAGAAAATCCACAAGACCAGACCTTTCCAGCTGCCAGCTGGCCCCTTTGCCTCTCAGATAACACCAAAAGCAGGTGGGGCAACAGTCTATTCACTGCCTGGCATAAAGTCTGCTAAATTAAATAATGAGAAACAGTAGAAGGCTGAAGCAAGAAGATCTCAAGTTCAAGGCCACATGGACTACACAGGGAGACACTGTCTAAAAAAAAAAAAGAAGAACTATTAGCAAACAAATAACTATGTTAAAATAATTGACTGATGCTCAGATTGTGGCTCATTGTTAAAGCACAAACTGAGCATCAATAAAATAACAATAATAATGATAATCATTATAGCTGGGCACTGTGGTGCAGGCCTATAATCCAAGCGTTAATCAAGACAAGATGACAGCAAGTTCAAATCCCACCTGGGTAACTTTGTGAAATAAGAAACGTGGATTAAGGGGACAGGGATATAGCTCAGTGGTACAAGTGCCTGCCCGGCAAGCACGAGGTTGTGAGTTCAAATCCCAGTACCAAAAAACAAAAACAAAAACAAACATGGATTAACTTGGGAGTGGCGCTCACACCTGTAATCCCAGCACCAGTGAAGTTGAAGCAGGATAATTATCACAAGTTTGAGGCCAGCATGGGCTACACAGCAAAAAATTTTTTAAAAAACGAAGTAAGAAAAACAAAATAAAAAATGTATAGGGATGTAGCTCACTGTGAAGGCTGTAAGTATAATACCCAGCATAGCAAAAAATAAACAAATACTAAAGCTAACCGCAGCAGTGGTGCAATTGCTTGGAGGGCTGAGACAGAAGGATCTCAAACTCAAGGCCAGCCTGAGCAACTTGGTAAGACTCAGTCTCAAAATCATTAGGGCACGGTATGTAGCTCAGTGCTTCTGAGACTGAATCCCCAGTCCACAATCAACCAATCAATACAAAATAAAAAGGGCTGAGGAAAAAAATAAAAAGAGCTGGGGATGTAGTTCTGTGGTAGACTCTGAGTTCAAGCTCCACTACCACCCAAAAATAAATAATAATAATAATTACAGATAAAGCAAACAACCTAAGGATACTATGTTGGGTGTTTCTGATTCTAATAGCACAGACAGTTTTCTGCCAGGCACTTTGCTGTCTTTTTCTTTTGTTCTTTTTGGTTTTTGAGACAGGGTCTCATTTTGTAGTGCAGAGTAGCCTCTAACTTGGAGCAATCCTCCTGCCTCAGCCTCTTGAGTGCTGGGATTACAGGCATGTGCCACCATGCCTGAGCTTCCCTAACTTTCTATACACTATGCTGAGATAATTGCACAAGAGCCAAGCTATACCTTACACAATCCCAGAAGGTTTCACTTTAGTTTTTAACACTTCTCCCTACATATTCTATTATTTAATTCTCAGAATAACCACATGAGGCCAATATAATCAGTACCCACATTTATTGATGCACAATGCACAAAGTGACTACCAAGTTTCTGAACAGAACCACGCTGCCTGAGGCCCTCTGTAATGACTGTATCTCAGCCACACCACACCTCAACCCAGAACAGGAAGAGCTGTGCGCAACACAGGAGCTGTCCTGATCTAAGTTCCCTTCTTCATTTCCATCCCTAATCGTTCTCTCTTCTTCCACATAGGCAGCCAGGATCAAGACAGCTATCGCTATTAACCCTCCCCTTCCTGTAGCCATGCTTGGTGCTTTTTCCCATACCTTCTTCAGATGAAGGGCCAAGAAAGGGAACAAACATGACAAGGGTCGCAAGATGGCCCCCTGGACACATAGGTCCCTGCATCAAAGAGAAAGGACAGACCCACATTCTGTCTCTTGCATCTTCCAAGAATCAAAGAGCACAAAATCACCACAGAAAACCTAGGCTACCTCTCTACCAGTGCTGCCAAAAATCCTTTACTAAAGGGCATTAAGCAATAGAAAAATGTAAAAGTACCAGTTTTTTAAACGGTCCCGGGCTTCCAACTGGGCTCCCACTTCAAAGCTGATTCCTCTTCTGTTAGGTGGATGCTTTGTCATTTTCAGTCATCAATGGGGCTGCTTTTATTCTCCTGAAAAAGCCAATTAAATATTTATGAAACTCAGGCAAAGTCAGCCCAGAGTGCACCATCACTCATTACACATAAAAAACAGACAGGCATTATTCAAAACACAAAGCTCCTGCAACCTGTCAGCACCCTGCTTCACGCCTGCCTGCCTTCTACCACAGGTGTCGCTCCCTTGACTTCTCCTCCTCCATTATGCTGCATACTGTGGTATTCAGAACTGTGGGGACCCTGTTCCCAGCACTGCTTGTCAAGGACTCACCTATGCCTCTGCGGGACACCTTCAAAACATTAAAAAACATTTGCTAGCTGGGCAGGTATGATGGCACTTGCTTATAATCCCAGCAGGCTGAGAGGCTGAGGAAAGACAAAATTTCGAGCCCAGCTTTGGGCAATTTAGGAACTTGTAAGACTCAGTATCAAAAAATAAAAAAAAAAAGATAACCCCAGCACTCGGGAGGCTGAGGCAGGGGGATCTTGCAAGTTCAACACCAGCCTGGCTTACAAAGTGAGCTCAAGGCCAGCCTGAACTGCATAGCGAGACCCTGTCTCAAAAAGATAAAAAAAAGAAAAAAAAAAATTAAAGAAAGAGCTGGAGCTAGAGCTCAGTGCAAAGCCCTTGGATTTAATCTCCAGTGCCAGGAAAAAAAATGCCCTCATGGGTAAATTCAATTATTTGCTGATGCACTCAATAAATATTTGCTCAGACTATTAAGAGAAACAGTCAAGACCAAAGAGACACACAGTTCCTGCCCTCAAGAAGCCTTGAGCTAGGCATGGTAGTGTACGCCTATGGGAGGCTAAGGCAGGAGGACTGCTTAAGCCCATGAGTTCAAGACTGCCCTGGGCAACATAGGAAGAACCTACCTCAAAAATATAAACACATACATACATATATACGTGTGTGTGTGTGTGTGTGTGTGTGTGTGTGTGTGTGTGTATACAAGTGACAGCTAGCTCTCTACTTTTTGTTTTTTTGTTTGGCTGGACTTTTTAAAGAAAGGGTCTCACTATGTAATTCACATTGGCCCTGAACTCATTATATTGCCAAGGCTGCCTGGAACTCACAACAATCCTGTTGCCTCAATCTCCTGAATATTGGGATATAGGTATGCACTACCACAACCATCCTGGCTCTACCTTTTGAAGGCTGGACAAGGATCTATTTATATTTTCTACCTCATGAGTCCATTCTGACAGTTTATATTTTCCTAAGTAACTGTCCATTTTATCTGGATCTTTAATTCCACTGATATAAAACAGCATAAAATATTCTTTACTAATTTTGTTTGTTTTTTATTACATCCCTTCTGCCCGCACCACTACTAGGGATTGAACCCAGGGCTTATACCCCCCACCTTCTTTTTCATTTGAGATAGGATCTCACTTAATTGCCCAGGCTAGGCTCAAACTTCCAGTGCTACTGTCTTAGCTTCCCAGAGCGCAGATCTTTTATTTTTGTTTTGTTGGTTTGTCTAATGAATGTCTCACGAAGTCACTAAATTACCCAGGTGGGACTTTCGATCTTCTGCCTCAAGACTCTCACAGTTCTGGGATCACAGGCCAGGGCCTGGCTCTTGTTTGTTTTCTTCATCAAGCTGCTGAATCCTGGGAATGGTGATCATTCGCCATTAAAACGAAGTAGTAGCCAGGCACAATGAGTAACACATACCTGTAACTCCAGCTACTCAGAGGCTAAGGCAGAAGAATTACAAATTTTAGGCCAGCCTGGGCAACTTTGCAAGAATCTGTCTCAAAATAAAAAGGACAGAGAACGCAGCTCACTATTACAGCACCCCCTGGGTTTGATTCCCATTATTGAAAGTTAGGGGAAAAAAACTGAATAGTAACAGTATTTTTCTTTTGAGGAAAAAAAAAAATCACATTAGACCATTTGTGGGAAAAGGGGACCCCACAAATGAAGTTTCTGAGCTGGGCATGGTGGCACACATCTGTAATCTCACCACTTGGGAGGGTGAGGTAGGAGCACTGCTGAGAGTTCAAGACCAGCTACATAGTGAGTTCAAGGCCAATTTGGACTAGGCAGCAAGACCCTCAAAAAAAAAAAAAAAAAAAAAAACAGTTTCTGGGATCATTAGGCTAATATGTGAAGTTCCAAATGCAATCAGAGGGACTAATGGTGGTTCTTTTTTTTTTTTCTTTTCTTTTTGAGACAGAGTCTCGCTATGCAGTTCAGGCTGGCCTTGAGCTCACTTTGTAGCCCAGGCTGGCCTCCTCGAACTCGCAATGATCCTCCTGCCTCAGCCTCCCAAGTGCTGGGATTACAGGCGTGCGCCACCACGCCCAGCTTAATGGTGGTTCTGATAGAGGCGTGATAGAGCTACTGAGCTTCCAGGGCACTAGAGCAGGATAACACCAAATAGCAATTCCTTCCTCCCATAAACTTTGGATCTCACAGCTTACACTGCCCAAACAATGCCAGTACACTGTAAGGGCACAGCCTGACTCACAGCAGAAGGGCCATCACTGTAATGAAAGAACATGAAGATCGCAGAAGCAGGTCCTCATATGTGATATATAACATCATCCCATCTTATTAAAAATTTGCTTAAAATATATAATATGAAAAAGCAGAATGCAAAACTGGACCAGTTGGAGCTCACAATCAAACTTTATATTATTAAGACCAGAAGAAAACAAATATTATAGGTGATTGTTACGTTCCTTTTAAATACAGTAGATTCCTAAATTTATAGTTTTTCACAACAGAGGTTTCTCATAAGAAAAAAAGATGAGGTCTACCCATTAAACCATCTGTTCCAAGGACAGACATTGGGAAACACAGTAAGCAAATCAAACTGAGTAGGGATGGTTGAATGTGGTGATAAAGGACACTGAAACATAATAAACTAAAAGCTATGGTATACTCATAAGTTAAATAAATCAGACTCACATGTGTAAACATTGTATTGTATCCCTAATGGGAGAAGCTGAAAGAGTAAGTAAGATCCAAAATGCACAACAGATATTGGGAAGTGGGAAAAAACTGTTCAAAAGGAAAGAGAAGCCGGGCATGGTGGCACACGCCTGTAATCCCAGCACTCATGGGGCTAAGGCAGAAAGATCACTGCGCGTTCCAGACCAGCTTGGGCTACAAAGTGAGCTCAAGGTCAGCCTGAACTGCATAGCCCTATCTCAAAAAGACCAAAAAAAAAAAAAAAAAGAAAGAAAAGAAAGAGAAACTGGGATAGGGGAAAGGAAAAAAGAAGGGAAAAACAAAAATGTGTGTGTGTGTGTGTGTGTGTGTGTGTGATAGTTAAACTACTAATTTCTCTTAATTCATTGAAAAGAAGCCGGGCGTGGTGGCGCACGCCTATAATCCCAGCACTTGGGAGGCTGAGGCAGGAGGATCCTTAGGACTTCAAGACCATCCTGGGGCTACAAAGCGAGCTCAAGGTCAGCCTGAATTGCATAGCGAGACCCTCTCTCAAAAAAAAAAAAAAAAAAAGACCCAAAAAAAAAAGAAAGGTTTGCGCTAATATTGTTTAGACAATTAAACACCTGTATATTGTACTCTGAATAACTAATTTAAAGATAATAATATGTAATGTATTAATCATTGTTACTCTACTATCTGGTTTTGAAATCTGGTCTTTTTCTCTTTAAAATAAAATTAAAGGAGTGTTTCAACTATATGGATCCTCAGCAAGGAAGTGTCAAGAGGTGTGACCAGCTTTACATAATGCTCTCCAGGAAAATGAGGTATCACATCTGACATGTAGTATAATCCAATCAGTAGGAAAGTCTTCATTTGAGCTTGGTTTTTCTCCGGTACCGGGAACCGAACTCATGACCTTGCGCTTGCCAGGCAGGCGCTTTGCCACTGAGCTAAATCCCCAGCCCCTTCATTTGAGCTTGAATGAAATACCATGTCAGCTACCTTTTATCTCTGGCTTCAGGCATACCAAGTAATACTCTCATTAACAGCTTGCCCTCCCCAACCCCATGTATGAAAGGTTGTATCTGCCAAGAAAAGCTGAGGGGAACAGAAAGCTTACTGAGCAATTACTTCCCAGGCTCTGTGCCGGAGTCAATCCCATCACAGAAGTAATGAAGGTCAGGCATGGTAGCACATGTCTGTAATGTCAGCACTTGGGAGACTAAAGTAAGTTCAAGGCCAACATAGCCTACAGAGTAGAGACCTTGTCTCAAAAAAATATTCTTCCTTATCATGAACTAAAACCTGTTTTATGGTAAATGACCTACCTGTTTGAAGTTTTATTCTCTAGTATCGTAAGAACAAGATCAAGCTAGGCTGGGCATTGTGGCGCATGCCTGCAATCCCATCACTTGGGAGGCTGAGGCAGGAGGATCATTGTGAGTTCAAGGCCAGCCTGGGCTACAAACTGAGCTCAAGGCCAGCCTGAACTGCATAGCAAGACCCTGTCTAAAAAAAAAAGTGAGGCGGGGCTGGGGATTTAGCTCAGTGGCACAGTACCTGCCTGGCAAGCACAAGGTCGTGAGTTCGATTCCTGGTACCGGAAGAAAAACAAACTAAAAAGGCATACACCATGGCCCCTGGCTTGAGCAAATTATTTCTATTTGAGCAAACAGCATTGAAAAAAAAAAAAAAAAAAGATAATTTGCATTTTCTTTTATGGGGGGTGTGTGCATGTTTGTAGTACATAATGATTACATTCAACATGGGTAGTTGGTACATATATGTAACACACTGTAATTCTTCTTACATTGCTTTCCCTTCCTCAATACCCCCTTCCCTCCATCTCTTGCTCCCCTTCCCATTTGCAAAAGATCTATCTCCCTGTTTCCTATTATCTATCTTTTATTTTGCTGTTTACTTACACTTTGGGTTTCTCATACAAGAAAAACCATACCATGTTTAGGCTTGTGTTTCTGATTTATTTCACTTAACATTATGGCCTCAAGGTACATCCATTTTCCTACAAATGCTTCAAGTTTATCTTTCTTTATTGTACAGTAGTATTCCCATTGTGTATAAATATCACATTTTCTTTCCCGATTCA